TCTTTACGGGAGTAGAAAGCCTCATCTTTCTCCCACGGAGCGGCTGGTAGTTTCGAACCACTGACCTTAAGGTTCGCAGCCCGATTCGTAACCACCACGCTACCAAAGCTCCTTAGAGTCATTACCATTTTTAAAATGTTTATAAAGTTTACATAGTTGCCTGTATATGCTTAGGAAGTTCATGATAAAGCACGAACATTTACACGTTACTTATTACTTCTTTGTCTCTAAAATATCTAGGACCTGCCCATGTAACCCTCCGTCTACATACTTTGGAAAATAGATGGACTCTTTCCAACACTTTTGCTTTTGTTACTGTTGTTATTGTTGTTAAGTGCCGTTGAGTCAAGTTCCAACCCATAGTGACCCTGTATAGGGTTTCCAAGGAGCAGCTAGTGAACTTGAACCGTAGCCCTCCCAGTTTAAGTAGGCTTTGCAGTCCAGAGCATTAACCAACAGTGCCACACCAGGACTCCGTTGTTGTTGTTAGTTGTCAGCAAGTCAATTCCTTTTACATTGACCATGTATAGGATTTCCAAGAGCAGCTGGTGGATTTGAACTGTCAACCTGTGTTTAGTAAACCAAAATCGCATTTTCTGAAACTTCTAAATAAAATATGGTTAAGATTTTAGGTGCATTTCATCATAAGGCAAAATTCCTCTTCATCAGTGAACCTGTGAAATCTAAACAGAAGATCTGTTTCTAGAGCACAATGGTAGAACAAACATAAGGTAGGCATTTATATTACACACAGGAAAAATGAAGGGAAAGAAGGGATTATGACATGAGCAAGTTTAAAATGTAGCAGAACAATTTAAACTTTAAAGCTCTAAATAATTTAAAGCTCTAAAGCTTGCAAATAATCCTGAGACCATTTGAGCAAGGCCTCTGCCTTCCAGAACCTGGGTGCTGACCCTGCTCTCTGGATTCTGGGTAGAAGACCCTCAGCCCTGAACTTCAACAAACTCTGCTCAGTAGGCTTTGAGAGTCTTCAATCTCCTAGTCCATTTAATTGGTGATCTTAGCACCTCAGTCCCTGAGGGCTCTGTTCTTCACTGAGTATACCAGTTCTGCTCTGTCAGCTTTGAGCAATAGCCCCGACCTCCTAGCACACTGTAAAGGAAGACCGACATTCCAGAACTGAGTTGATGAATACCTGATTCTTGGAAATCTAGAAGCCTGTGCTCCACCACCTCTTTGTGTATTTTACCACTATATAAAAAAGCATTATCTTTCCTTCATTGTCAAATATCATGTTCAGTTTCCTTTTAAAGCCTCATCAGAAGTACATTTTATCTCTACATTACTAACAACATTTTACTGATGGCAGATGGACATTCTCTAAGGTGATAGAGACTTTCTATATAGCATTTTACTTCCTTCTGAGTGCTTCTCAGAATTATATTTGACATCCATAATTCTAACAATAGCCTTTTCAAAACAATCTAGACTTTTACTTTTAGGTGCCTTAAAACTCTTCCAATCTCCACCTTGTACCCAACTCCAAAACTGCTTCCTCATTGTGGGTATTTGTTAGAGGAGCACCACTAATATTTAGAATCAAATTTCATATTAGTTTTCTAGTGCTGCTATAACCAAAATACTACAAATGTTGG